GTTTTTTTCCTGTAGTGGCAGTTCTTAAAACTAATAACTCAAACCCCTGGCCTCTTCTTTCATCCAGAGTCCTCAAATAGAGCTGTATGATACGCTGAACTTCCTCAGGTTTTGTTTCAAAATTTGACTAGTTTTTTCTTGAAAAATAGTTTAAGTGTAAGACTGGAAACCTACTTTAGTCTCAAATTAGCTGTGCTTGTGTTGGAGTAGGTCCATGAGCAAGACTGGTAAGGAAGGAAATAGAAGTGCAAGATGGTAGGTCAGATGGGTGGGCAGGCAGAGCTGTGCTAGCAGGAGTAACCAGCTGGAAATCCTGGGAGCATTCAGGATGTCAGCAACTGTGAGGCTGCAGCTCTGAGCACAGGTAAATGTTCTTTGCTGTCTCTACATCAAAGCAGGCATTTTGTTAGCAGACAAGATACAGCAGTTTGGTTATTTAAAGCTGTTGGAAGAGCAGAGATCTGTGACTGGGTTTTGGTTTTTTGCTTTTTGTTTTTTTTTTTTCCTCTGTCTCACGTTAGAGTTTGCACTAGCTTTGCTTGGAATTACCTTGGATGAAATCAGAACTGATAGTTTTCTATTAAGAAAATCACCTCAAGCATTCAGCTCTGCTTCCAAATAGAAGTAAAGAATCCATTTTTCCCTGTTTCCTCTGTCTTTTTGTTGATGTGCTTTAATATTACAAGGGAAAGGTAGAAAGATTGCACAGTTCATTACAGATCCAGTGACTTTCCTTCCTGCTGTTTGCTGTCACAGCTTGTGTTTCTGTGGTTGTATCTCTTTTTTTCCTGGTTGCAGTAAGGAAAGAGAGTGGAGATTTGATTCCTGGTGTATCATCACTCCACAAACAGAGAGTGACTTCAGCATCTGACCAGGGAGAATATTTACCTGAGCACTGTGACTCACTTGAACACTGTGATCTGTGCTCAGGCTGTGGCAGCAAGAGGTTGATCCTGCAGAGTTGAACTGAGTGGAAACATTTTGACAAGGATCAGTTTGTACTCTTGCAAGATAGAAGCCTTGGAAAAAATCCCTTAAACTACTGCTGTTTTGAAAATTTTACTGCTTGAAAAGAGAGCATTTTGTTCTGTTTAACCTGAACACGGTAAGCAGTTTTCTTGAGCTGTGGCATGCAGGAATGGTGGTGAGGAATTCTAGGAAGAAACTAGAATTGCTTTCTACAACAGGAGGTGACTCAGAGGCTTGAAGAAATGGCCAAGGGTATCCTGTACCAGCCACAGTGTGTCCAGCAAGACCAGGGGAGTGACAATCTGGGCACTGCTGAGGTACCTTGAATCCCTCATGACAAGACAAACTTTGAGGGGCTGGAGCATGCCCAGGGAAGGGAATGGAGTTGGGGAATGGTCTGGAGCACCAGGAGCAGCTGAGGGAGCTGGGAAGGGGCTCAGCCTGGAGAAAAGGAGGCTCAGGGGGAACTTGTGGCTCTGCACAAGTCCCTGACAGGAGGGGACAGCCAGGGGGGTCGGGCTGTGCTCCAGGGAACAGGGACAGGAGGAGAGGGAACGGCCTCAGGCTGGGCCAGGAGAGGTTTAGATCAAATGTTAGGGACAATTTCTTCAGCTCTCAAGCATTGGAAGGCTCTGCCCAGGGATATGGTGGAGTCCCATCTCTGGAAGTGTAAAAACTGCTTGAGGCCATGGTTTGATGGTGAGCAAGGTGGTGGTGCTGGAGTGATGGCTGGACTTGGTGATCGTAGACATCTTTCCAACCTTAATGATTTTGTGATTCTGTGAAACATAGATGTCCTAGGTGAAATAAAAATAGTAGTACACAATCTAACACTGGAGGAATACTTTTGTCCTGCATGTGACCTGCTAGACAGCTGTTTCTTGTTGTGTGAGGGCTGGTTGGCTGTGATGGTGGTAAAGGGGCCTCACAGTGATGAGAACTTAACTGCAGAGCCAAGTGCTTGGATTAATTCTGGTGACGGATAGCAGCACATAAATAATCCTGCCCGTGGCCTAGCACCCGTTCACCAGTGCAGCAAGGAACAAGGGATGCTGTGAGCCCGAATTTTTCTGGGGCTGTTGTGTTGATGGTTTTCCCAGTGTCTTTTGGCTGTGATCTATGCAATGCCTAGGGCTGTGCATTTGGGGACTCAAGGCATCACTCCTGGACCTTGGTTCCATGCACAGGCCTGGTGGTAGAATGATGGTATCCTTTTAAAAATTGTTTTGAGGACACCGCCACCATTACCACTTTAAGGCTGGGATGATTTGCAATAAAGATTGCTATCCTTATGGGTAGATTAACTTATTTGCAACCAGGCTGTCTTTCTCCTTCTTGGAGAGCAGCCAGATACAATCCTGTTTAGATTCCCTCAGAACATAAGGTAGTACTTGCCACTTCTGCTCAGCCAAAGTCCAGGCCATCCTGCTTTCATATATGGTCTGGACTTGGTATAACCATTAACGTGCAGCTGAACAAACCCAGTAGTCACAATTGGGAAGACCATAAGTCAAGAAACTTTGTGATCTTACGTCTGGTGTTAAGGATTACCCTAATTGGTGAAAAAGTGATCTATTCCAAAGTTAGTTTTGGTTTCTTCCAAATCATTCTGTCTCCCATAATCTTTACTGTAAAAGTTCTCAGAGAAGTAAATGTTCTAATGGTTGATGATTAGGATTATGTTTTAAGTTAGCAGAACCCTTAAAAGATAATTTATATAGGGTGGATATTTCTGCAGCACGTTTTGGTCACACAGCCTGTGTGGTGATGGGCATTAGTGATTTCCAGAAGCACCGTAACCCCTTCACCTCTTTGTTGTAGTGAGGCAGAGTGGTCTGTAATGAACCTGTGCATAGCGAAATCACAGCAGAGCTGCTGCATCTAAAGGAGCTTTTTTGCCTCCAGTTAGAATGATGTGTCTCCAAGAAATAGAGACATGGAGTCAAAAGTCTTTTTTAGGATGAAACTCAAGGTCTGGAGTCCACAGCTGAAGCTATGGAGGGCTGCTGGGGAACACAGTTTGCTTTGGCTTTCCTCAGACTTTGCTTCATTTGACTCTGTTGTTTCACTTACAGTACGTTTCCATGTGATCTGTGCTGGATGGAAATTCCTGGCATTTCTCAGGATGTTCGTTTTTCCCAGTCACATTCCTAGTTCATCAACTGAGCTGAAACAAACCATCCTGTTTGCTTCCCAGGGGCAGCCTAAGCTTCTGTATTTGTTGGATTTGTAGAAAATCCAGCTTCAAATGATGGATTGCATAATTGAAACTATCCTTAGAAACTTGCTAAAGTAGAAATCAATGGACTGATATTTAACTGAGTTATAAAGTGTTCTGTCCCTGAGTAAAAACAGAAAGAAAGTTGATTGTATAAAGTTTACAAATAGTAAGAAGAGGAGCAGGCTGTAAGGAGATTTTCTGATGAGGGTTTGTAGTTAATTGTGTCAATATTAGTCTTGGGTCACTTCAGGTCCCCTGTTCTCCTGAGCTGTATAAACATTGCTGTGAGAAAGGGAAAATCTACAACACAATGTAACCACCCTTGACAGAGTGTCAGTGTGTGAATGGAACAGACTCAAAGGACAATGGAAGCAGTCCCTGGACCCATCTGAGGGCACATGTGTGCTGCCATGACAGGACTGGCAAGCAAGGGGCTGTGTGGCCATTCTCCATGGGCTCCTGCCCAGCAGCCCCCGGTGCCTGTGTAGCCCTGGGGGGAGCCGATGAGCAGGGGACGTTTCAGAGATCAGTGTTGCATCCTCCAGACCCTTTGCAGTAGCACTCAGTCTGGTTTTGCCCTGTGTGGGGGGACATGCCCTCGGGGAGCAGTCAGAAGAGGTGTGGGAGGTGGGTCAGGTGTGGTGTTGTACCAGGTTGTGCACTCACACAAGGCCCTCTGGTTGCTGCAGACGTGCCCTCAGCTGTGTGCTTTGCTCAAAGGACAAGCACGAGGTACAAAGTGCTCTGTGTGTGTGCTGGCTGAGGTCCTGAGTGTCAGCTTGAGATGGGTTGTTACAGTGGGACTGCTGAGGCACAGGCTGCCCAGAGAAGCTGTGGTTGTCTCATCATTCCAGGTTAGACTGGACAGAGCTTTGATCAACCTGACCCAGTGGAAGGTGTCCCTGCCCATGGCAGGGCTTGGATTGAGTTAATCTTTAAGGACCTTTCAACCCAAAGACCCAGGCAGTGGGAAGCTGGGGGGAGATTCATTTGTGAATCTTCTGGGAATGTGGGGGGAGAAGAGGCCTTATTTCAGGTATTTTGGTGTGGAGGAGCACAGGTTTCCTGTGGGCAAATGGGAGTAAGACAGGGGCTTCTGTACCCCAGTGGGAGGGCTGGGGAGGGAAAACTGCCTTTGTAGTCCTGATCCTTCTGTTGCTTGAGCAGGTCATCTCACCTTCAGTGGAAAATACAGAACCAGTGGCTGGTGCAGTGACCAGGACCTCTCCCACACTACTATTTGTTTATTTTGTGTTTCCCTCTGCTTCCTCAGTTGGCTGCAGAGCTTTCCCTCACGTGGTCACCCCTCAGATGCTCTCTGCTTGGCAGCTCACTTGGCAGGAGTGCACAGATACCCATACTCCCTCAAGCCCATTTATCTCCATTTGCTGCTAGCCTGAGGAGGATCAGGAGCCCCAACAGCCATCCTGTGCTTGGAGTGTCACATAAAAGACATCCCAAGGTGCCCTTTCCCTCTTCAGTGCCATCCCCCAGGTCGGGTGGCGTGCCCAGGCTGTGTGGCAGGTCAGGCCTCTGTGCCCCATGGTTGTACATGGAGGATGCTCAGCCCTGGGGTTAGAGGTGCTGGGGTTGCTGGAGCCCTGACAGGTGATCCAGGTGCTCCAGCTGTCCCAGGAGATGCTGTGGATGCTTTGCTTTGGCAGCTGCCTTGGAGTGAGCTGGGGAAGACCATGGTATGAGAGCTGACTCTGTGTCACCAACCCTGTGTCCTTAACGCAAGCTATGATTTGCGAATGTTATAAAATGTAAAACCCTTTTCTTACAATATGTCATTTTTTTTCTGTTTATTTCCAGATGCTCTCAATATTTTGTGCTGACAAAAAGTTTACTTTATGTTCGTTGTCTCCCAGGTAAACGCAAAGCGCTGAAGTTAAATTTTGCAAATCCACCTTTCAAGTCCACAGCAAGATTCACCCTAAATACTTCTGGAGTTCCTTTCCAAAATCCACACATGTGAGTATAAAGCCAACGGCACAACTAGTGGAACAACTTTGAAATGAATTAGCCAACACCCAGTGTTAGTTACATGCCATTTTGATTAGTCCAGTTATTTGTAGGTTGTTTAAATCTCTCAGTTTGAGTCACTGTAAAAGACATTTTTTCCAGAATTTTAAAAAAGGTTAAATTGGGATCTTCTTGGTTTACACCGGAGCTAATGCCTTCCAGAATTGATTGAATTGAGTATTGTAACTGATAATGCTAAATACACTTATACAATTATAATTAATGTCTAGACTGATTCACTGTTGTTTTCCTATCTCTTTATTCAGCTTATTACTTTTTGTTAGAATTTATTGTTTCTGTGTTACTTGTGAAACCCATAACTGATAAAATTTTCAGCACTAAAACAGACAAAGGTTGAGGACTGTCATTTTAGCTACAGGGAGCTGTTAGGGGAGTTATGCAGAAATTAGGTCTCAGTGAGTTTTCTAGCCAGTTTAGCCCAGGATATCCCTGTCCAAAGTCTGAGAGCAAGTGTGACACAGAGCTGTTCCTGACTCTAGTGAATATCAGGGTACATCAGCACCAAAAAAGATCAGCTTTGTATCCTCAGATCCACCAATCTAGCTGGACAGTGCTGCTCTGCAGCTGGTCCCTGTTGCAGATGCAGCAAGCATGCAGAAGATATCCCACATTTTTCTTCTCTAAGGTCTCAGGAGTTTTGTCAGTGTCAAGTCTCAGAAACTGCACCTGCAGCCTCCCTGCTGCCCAGGCTCTCTGGAGTGTCCCTGTCACAGGCTGCTCCTGCTTGGCTCTGCATGTCACTACCTCTGTCCTGGAGCTCAGTGCCTTCTGCTTCCCTAGGGCATACTGCTGGGCTCTGTTCCTGGGAGCTTCTTTATGCTGGGGATGTTCAAACAAGCTTTTATCAAGTTAGAAACATGTTTCTGATGAGTTGTTTGTGGTAATTACAATATAGAGAAATTTTATAGAGTACTTTAGATGATTCTTAAAATCTTGAGTGACCTGTCCCAGCAAGTCTTCTTCCTTCCTTCTCTCTCCTCTCTGAAATAGAGTGTTCTTATTGGTTGTAGAGCTCAGATTTAGATATTCACTTTTTGTGTCTCATCATATCATCAAACTCTTGTAAAGATTTTCTACAGAACCCCTTCTGGGGCTCTTTCATTTCTCTGACCTTGTTAGTCCATTAAATAAAGGAGTTAGTCTCAGCTAGCAAGTCGCCACCATCAGCCATCTATAGGAATTTGCCTTTTCTGTGTTTATCTGTGCAGATTTCTGTCTTGGATTCACTGGAAGTCACAGTGGTTCCTGTCTAGCACAGAAGAGCTTTCTTTGTCAGTCTGTGACATCTGAAGTTTCATGTTTGTGCAAGTGATTGTCAACACTGTCCAAGACAGGTGCTGCTCTTTGTGGAGTTGCAGTTGTTGGTAGGAATTGGATCCTGGGCTGGTAAATGGTGTTACTAGGTCTGAGAGCTTTGGGTTGTTTTGGGTTGGATGTGATAGCTGTTCAAGTACCAGAATTGATGGTGATGTGTCTGTGCTAAAGCTTTCTTGGGAGGCTGCAAACTGTAATGGCCATTTGTGTTTGAAAGAGATGGATGCTGTTAGCTTGGTTGCTTTCTCTGTGGTGAGGCTGGCTGAGCTTGGATGCAGCAAATTGTCCTCGTGTCCTTTCTGTGTACACAGCAGATGCTGTTCCTCCAAAGCAGTGTTGACATCTTCTGATTGCACATTTCTGTCAAGTCTTTGTCTCACAGCTGATGTATCTCCATCTCCTGCCTTCTTCCCTGAGATGCTGGAATGACTTTTTTCTCCGTAGGCTAGAAACCTTTTTTGGACTTTGGATTTGAACTGGATATTTCAGACCTCCTCACTCAGCCGTGTTCCTGACACAGAGTGTGTTTCTGTTCACCAAGCCACTTCTCAGCCTGGTGGATCCCAACAGCCTGGGTGTCCTCCCAAAATGACCACAGGCTCCACACTGCTGGGGATTGTCCTGGACAGGCCCTGCTGGTCCAGATGGGTGGATCTGAAGATACAGAGAGGTTAATTTCTCACATGAAATTTGGGATTCTATGGTTTGGATCCACCAATCCAGGGGTGTCCTGTTGCTTCTGCCTGAGATGGTGTGTTGAGCAGCAGAAAGTGAGGCAAGGGTTTGGAAGGAAGGTCCATTCTGGTTCTGTGACTGCATGTGGTGGAGGAGATATGTCTTGTTTGGTTCAGCTGGAACTTCTGCCACCAAACCTGCTTGAGAAGTGCAAAGAGATTTTCATCTAGGCATGATGTGTTTCCTGACAGTCTGTAGGGCATCCACCACAGTTGTAAACATAATTTTACATGTGACCTGTACAGGGCAAGACAGAATAGAACCTGAATTACAAACAGTAGTTGGGAATATAATTTACTTGAAAGGATGCAGTCTAGAGAAGAGATAAGAGTTTTACTGATGGCTGATGCCTGGTCAGAGTCAGTGAGGCTGTGTGATTACCATACTGTGCAGGCTGGGGAGCAGTTGAGGCTGTGGAGACCTGCCAGGTTAGCCCATGGCTCTTGTGAGTTCAGGCTGACTTTGTCACTTAGACCAGATTAACAGCTGCTAACTTTGTTTTCCCTGCAGCAGACGTTGCAGAGGCTGGAGGACACAAGCCATGGTTAGGGTGAGCTCTTCAAATTCCAACCCATTATACCAACTGGAAAGCATCCCACTTTTTACCTCATCTGTCCTGTGTCCAAGTAGGATTTAGGTCACAAACAAAATTAGATTACTCTGTTATCTATGTGGAAGCTTTACAGAGCTGTTTGCAGCTGGTTGCCTTTGTTAAAAGGAGATTCAGATGACACTAACAGGAGTGATGTGGTGAGGTGTGACTGTGGCTGTGCATGGCAGGATTTCTGGCTGGGCTGTGCTGCCCATTGCTCTTGAAACCAAGGTGGAAACCATTTGGCTGTAGGTGAGATTTTTTGGTTTTCTGGAAAGCTTTGTATTCTTGTGCAGTGATATTTGGATATTGACTTTTAGAGGATTTAGATCAACCTGCTAGGAAAGGGCAAGCACAGAGAATGTTGTTTGGCATTTGATTGACAGCATGCTGCTTCTTGAGTGTTCTGTCTGCTGGCTGGGAAGTCTCTTGACTGTCAGAGTTGCCACCTCTTGAGAACCTGATTACCAGAGCATTGCAGTTTTCCCTGAGAAGGTGACAAAATGAACTAATTTGTCTTTATATACAAACTTGATGTTTGACATGTCTGGCATCCAGTTGAACACCACAGTCTCCCTATAGCCTGTGAGTGTCTTCATGGATTTATTGGGACTTAAGCTTTCCAGAGCTGCCCTGCATGGAGCTTCTCCTTGTGACACCTGGGAGAGCCACACACTTTTCAGAGAGCTACCCCAAGAGTGTGCTGGATGTTCTACTGAACTGTCAGGGCTGGATTCTTCAAAAGCCAATGGAGGTCCAGTTGCATATCAGACTCTGCTGCTTCCTTTTTTTCTGTATAGTTCAGGGACTGTTATTCCTGGAAAGGTTTTTTTTTTCTGGTTGTTCCAAAGCCTCTCTGTGGTGCCTGTTGCTCTTTTAATCTCCTCTTAGGCTTTCCCATACCCTTCTAGCATGTGGGGTCAGGCTCTGTAGCTGGTGGAGCTCTTTAGGAAGTAACCTGAGAGAGTTCCTACCATTTTTGAGAAAAAAAAACCAAACCAAAAACAAACCCAAAACCTAAACCCCAAAGGGAAATATCCTTAACTGGCATGTTCCCTACTATTAGTGTGAATTTTCCTGTAAATATTTCTTCACATCTTTATTATTACTGATTTCTGTTATTTTTCTGCTATGTGATACCTTCCTGTGGCAGGGAGTGCTGCCTGGAAGCCTTGGGGGCATAATTCAGAGTCAAAGGTATCAAGAACTTGGTTTTTCTTCTGTGACTGAAGCTGTCCCATTTCCTGAAAGTTGCAGAATCTGGATGTAATCACTTGTATTTTCAAGTCAGTACAAGTAAAATGCAACCTTCAAGGCCTCAGCAGAGACATCTCAGTGTTTAAGGGTGCCTGTGGTAACCAGGCTTTCACTTTTCATACAAACATCAGTGCTGAAACAATGTTTCTTCTGTAATATTTTCAGGAGCATTTTTTTAAAACGGGTGAATTTTGCCTTGTATTTAACGTTCCTCTTCCTTCCAAGAGTTTACAAGTTCATTTGGGCAGTGATCTCTGCATGACAGAGATTGTGGTCTGTACCAGACTCGAGTATCTCTGGCTTCAAGTAGGTCACTGCTTCAGAGAACATGTTGCCAGAGTCAGTGTGAAATTTTCACTGAATGTGCTGCTTTCAGTTCTGTTTTTTTGGTGTGTTGTTTGTTTGGTGTTTTTTTTTTACTTTTAAAGTTTTGGTATTCCTTAAGTGCAAATCCTCTTTGCAAAGGAGCTTTTAGCTGTCTGCAACTCCCAAGTTAAACTTGTCTAGCAGCTTCCACATCCCCTGGAGCTTCACTGCCCTGGTAGGACTGTTCTGTTCTCTCTGTAAGGGTTTGATATCCCAGCACTCAGCTTCTGACTTTGGGCCTTCTATGTCTGGAATCAAAGTTTGGACCTTGTGTATCTCCATTCAGCTAATTCATGTGAATTTTTCAATGGTGCAGAGCACCTTGTGGCCTTCCTGCCACACTGCATGGACCTGGGCTCCTCAGAACTTCTGGACACTAGTGAGCCACCCTTGGGTGTCTAAATCAAATCCAGCCTGATGTTATGGAATGACCTGACTCCCATGGGTTCCAAGTGCTTCACGAGTGCTGAGTGATTGAGGTGTGCAATTATGAATTGTTGCACAAATCTCTGCATTCCCCATCCTGTGGATGGGAAACTGGGACATGCTATCTTTTGGAAGAGGCAGAGATTAAGCCAGAAGCTTGTGATGGAGAGTTCCACAGGGATCTCTGATCTGTGATCCATAGGTAGCTGTGTGTTACCTGTCCCATCTGGGCATGGTT